GCTTAAAAATTAACGTGATGACCCCCGTGGAAAGCGAAGCGGGTACGTACTGATTTGTGGGGTGAGACCACAGTGTGAAACCTTACGCTTTCAGGTTATATAGTACCAAAATCGAAAGGCTGCTACACAGTTACTGCAGGATTCCTGAGGCTGCAGAACATCACAGCTGCCAATTATTTGTGTCTAAATTAAAACAAACAAACAAAAACAAATCTAGATTTCTGGCAAGCGCTGAATAATCCAATATTATTTATGGTAGTGATAAGTAATCAGAGATAAAGAACAACTGGGCACAATTATTTAATACTGTTGCACGGCAAGAAACCGCAGTGGCTATTGGGGACTTTCTTCAAACCCGTATTAATTCTTTATTCTTCTGAAGTGTGATTAGCTGCTACTTAAAGGCTCTCTGTTCTTTAAGTGTCGCAGCTGAAGTCATCTATACCTTACCTAGACCTCCGTCTAGCGCATCTGAAACCCCGTAGCGAGCATGTTTGGAGCAGTTGCAGCTAGCTCTCGGATCTGTTGTGAGCGGTCTGGCGAGTTCATAAGCTCATCTTTCTGTGATTCTTTATTTCCATATCTGTATCTATATATAGGTATCTATATCTGTATATAGATATGTGCTATACAGAGAGATATAGATACGGTGCCTACGGCGAGTTCTAAGGCCTGTCTGTTTCTATTTTCTGCATACCTACAGATAAACAACAAAACGAACGTGGTAACCAGCCCCAAGGAAAATATTCCTACCCCGGCGCTGGTATACCTGCAATCCTCCTTCTCACCCTGTCTTGAAGTTTTTGACTTGTCTTCTGTTTGTCCGTCCTTCTTTTTATTGCTTTTTCATGCATTGACTCGGTTTGCTTTCTAAAAACAGGGTTTGGAAAAAACTTTTTGTTTGAATTACGCTTTTATTTGTTTTTTCCTGTGAGGAAGTCCATTAGAGCGTGCTTATTAATAGAAAATGTTATGTGGAAGCTGGATGCGGTAGAGTCATGGCGTTTTTGTAACTGTACTTGAATTTTTTGCATGCTGTGCCAGAAAGTGAGTAGAATGCGCTTTACGTTGCTCTTAGCTCTTTGCCTGATGACTATTTCCATCTTTTTAACGATAACCGTTTGCACAAAAAAAAAGAAAAAGAAAAAAAAACCAACAACAAACCTCTCATTTTCTCTGCTTTGTCTTCGTCTAAGTTTTGATATCAAGGAGAGCTAACAGGATTATTGCTAGGCTACCATCAAATAGACCTTATTCAGATTTGCATTCCGTATTTCCTAAAACTCAGCAGGACTTTGCAAGCCTTCCCTGGGATCAAGAGGCGTCTAGTGCTAAACATCTTTGCTTGTTCCTCTTACATTTAAAGCTGCAGGAGGCATTACTCATTAACAAGCCCTGTTAGGAACTCATTACTAATCGGAGTGCCCTCCGTGAATGTTTCTATTGCAATCTTGCTTTTATTAGGAACTCCTATTTCTTCGGCATACGCGGTATCACGGGGCTCACAAATGTCAATGCCAGTGCCTAAGTACCTAAATTTGCGAGGCGCTGTTTCCCGTATGCCTGCGTGTATAGCTTTGAAAATGTGGATAATTCACACACATCGGGGGAGATTTTTTCCTCTCAAAAATTTTTTTTTTTTTTTTTGTGTGCAACTAGCCCTGAAGCATACATTGCTAAGTAATTTCTAAGGGCCGGTTAACGAGTTTCATGCACGAAAGTTTGGCACCCAGTTCCCAGACGTAGCCATGCACGATAGTCCACACTGGAAGTATGCCGGCAAAGTGCCATTCTGAAGATTATTTAATCTGTTTTTAAGGGAAATTACACTTTCAAATGACGCAGAGATCTCTCTCTCTCTCGCTTACTTTGATGCTGCTCTGCCAGGGCAGCAATTGGCCGTACTCTACCTCTTCCCAAACGTGGCAGTGCTCAGAGGTGGTCAACTCACCCTTAATCCTTATCGATGGATCTGTATTTTTATTTGATTGTTTAATACTAATACAAGCAAAGATGCTTAAAGAAAAAGGAGGTGGTTTCTGGCCCTTTTTGCCTGACCTGGCTCAGACAGGAAAACGCGCAAAGCCTTTAACGTGCCCTGGTGCCAAAGAGCCTCTGGAGGTCTCTGGAGCTTCAAAGCCCTGTATGCCTTGGTCCTGAATAAGGTCTCTGCATGCCGCTGCTTGAGGCGAGATGGCCTTTCTTGCTGGCTTGCTGTTGAGGAATTCGGTGTTCGAGACGTCCAGTTTCACCCTCTGGCAACAGTTAACGTTGGATTTAGCTCTTGTCAGTGTTCAGCATTTGTGAGCTGGCTCTTCTTGCGCTCCCTCGACGCTAATGAGAATGTATTTACCAATGGGAACTCTTTTTTTTTTTTTTTCTCTCTCTCTCTTTATTTTGTTCTCGCTCAGGAGCCCCAAACTACAGTAATCCACAACCCTGATGGAAATAAGGTATTCAGAAAGAATCAACTCCATCCTGCTTTCCCGCACCACACATCTCATCCACTGTTCCGCAGCGAGATAGGGCCGTGCCAGGAACGTAGCAAGGCCAATCTCATTCCCGCATTTGTTCCACCCGGTGTCTCTTGAGCCTGTTTCCATCCACGTTCACCCGCTGCGTGCGTCCTGCCCATTGCTGAGCTTCCGAAGCTCCTGGGGGAGCCGGCAGCAGTTGGCAAAGTTCAGTTCCCTGTTGCAGCCAGGCTTCGGGGGGGGGGCACGGTGTCTCTCTCGTTTCAGCCAAAAAATGCTGCAGTCTTAAGTAAAACCAAAGAACGCTCTTCTCAGAGTGTGGTGAGATTACACTGACGAGTTGCGTGTGCTGTTGTCACCTCAGATGAAGATGTCATTTCAGTTTGTCCCATCTGCTGTCTCTCAGCATGCTTGTACGCCGTGTTGTGACGTGTCTTTTGCACAGGACTTTGGTTTTTTTATTCCATAACATCACCAGGCAATTTCAAAAAAAATTTTAACATTTCAAGTGACAAAGGGGTCTTTTGAATTTTTTTTTTTTTTTCTTCCCCATACGTTTTCTTCATGCTCTTTTCTTTTTCTTGTGTGTTGTGATGTTTGCGTTTGGCGGCTGATCCCTAAAACGTGTTTTGTTTCGTTTTTTTCATGCATGGACTTGAAAAGGGCCAGGAAATATCATCATTTACACATAACACGTGCTCCTAGGTTTCCTGGAAAGAATTTACTCTTTGACAAAAATTTCACTGTTTACAGCGTTGACTTAAAGAATTGACATTTCATTTATCTAGTCTTCACTCCTTGTGGTTGTTTCGTATGGGAAGGATTTGAATCTGAGTGGAAAAAAATAACGCATGCAGACATGTCCCAAGCATGAAAGTGCCGACGGTGTGTATCGTGCTTGTATATCCCATTCCTTTACGTCCCTTGCATCTGTCGAACGTCTAGCTTTTATTTTCATGTTACTACTTTTTCAGCTCCCCAAGTTTAAACCCACAGGCAACACGGAGCCTGTGTTTGACCACTAGCCCAGGCTTTATCGCTGAAGTCCACTAAGGACCAGAAAACCCAGATAACATATTGGCGTGACTACATCTACTTGACTTTATTATTTAACCGTAGCGATTAAGATGCTCAATGTCCCAAAAGGTCACAGCAGACAAGCAAACCACTCAATGCGGAGAGTTACTCCCAAATTTGGCTGAAAGGCTGATCCATGTAGTATGGCAACTGGAGCGGATGCTTCAATATTACAGGCCACATCTGCCGTGTGAGCTTGTGCATGGTGTTTACAACTTGTATGTGTGTGGGGGGGGTGGTTTACTTCTAAGTACTATTATCTAATATTTTAAGCGATAGAGCATGATACGTCTGTGTAGAATGAAACGTCTAACACCAGCCAGTTCAGGAAAAGCATGGTGACTCGGTCAGTTTTTGTTTGTCTGTGAGTTAATTCATGTAGTTTTCTTTATGGATGCACATACGTTTTGGTTTTTTTTAAGGTCTGGGTAATGCATTAACAGTTTTGAACATTCCTTCGGCTCAGCCTTGTGAGGACACAGTAAATAAAGGGCACTGTCAAATTCACCTTTTACTATTTAATTGTAAAATCCTTTTGAGACTTAAATACAATACCGGTCTTATCTTCCATCTGTATGATAAAAATAGACCGGTTAATCCTTTTTCCTATTGAGCTGTGAATTTAAAAAAAAAAAAAATTATATTGATTCTACTTTTCAAGAAAGTATACGGGTAAAAAAAAAAAAAAAAAAATCAATTTGAAAAACTTTCCGGCTTTCTAAAACTGTGGACCTATTAGATTTGATAGTGCCCTGATGAATTTGCCTGTAATATTTGGTGTTTCAGGTAATTCATGAAAGACTGAGATACAGTATCCTTGCCTTTTTAACAGTGTGGTGGCTTCAGTATAAACCCCCAAAGTCGTTATCATCTATTTATCGATCCTCCATCTCCTTCGCAACATTTTTTTATCACAGAGGCGGTATAAAAATGACAGAATCTGATCCGGTGTTCTTAAAAATCACTGGGAGACTTCAATATCCATTGCGTAAACCATATGAGCAGAAAAAGAGTGGCAAATTATAGCATGCAGAAGTCTGCCTAGTTAAAAGTTGGAAGGGAATGACTTATTTTGCACAGTCGGTTTAATCACGAAGCTTAAAAAGGCAAGCTTTCCTACTTGGCTGAGGCAATTCATATAACATTTTAGACGGACTTTGTACAGTTGGATGTTAAAGAAAAAAAAGAAAAGGTTCCTTTACATTCCTGTGAAGTAAAAGCATTAGGCAGCGGGAAATGTATTTCTTTTCCCTACCGTAGAGAACGGCAATGTTTGACATCAGTTCCAGGTGGAAATGTCTTAATCAGTGTGTGCCCATTTGTTTGTGAATTACATCCCGCCCCGCTTCGAGGCTTTGCATGATCTCCGTGACTAACGGGAATTCTCAAAGGCACGCAGATAAGGCTTGGCTTGGTTTCTACGTTCTACTTACATTTGCTTCTCAACAGGAATCGACGGAGAGCTCCAATACAACCATTGAGGATGAGGATGTGAAAGGTAAGATCTTCAGCTTGAAACATTTGGAGAAGCGATAACCTGAGTCACGTGAATGTATTTCATTAGGTCGTTAAAACTCCTAATGAACCTTAAGAGGGAACGCTATTTTTCCTTGGCTAAAATAAATTGCATTTATGTTCTTCTGTGTTACTTCTGGCACGTTTCAGACTTACCTTTGGCTTTTTGTTTCCCAAAACACCATTTGCCATGATGTTTTGGAATGAAGAATATAAAGTTGCTGCTTATTAATTAAGATACTAGTTCCAGTAATCATAGCAGTAGATTAGCATCATAGAATCGTTTAGGTTGGAAAAGACCTTTAAGAACATCAAGTCCAACCATTAAAAACGTGTAAGTCAGCGCTTTGTAACTCTTACTTAGTTTATGTACTTGTAGCATGCGTTTGTGGTTTGGGTTTGCTTTTTTTCTTTTTGATGCCACCATTTTTAACTTTTATTCTGTTCAGATGCCAGTGTTTTTTCATGTTTCTCTTTTGTTCTGTCCATACATTTATTTTAATTGTCTTTTATTCTTTTGAAAGATTAAAAGCAATCTTTTTTTTTATAAAATTAGTTCTGTAACTTCACAGTTTTGTTTCCATTTTTGCACCTTTAAATATTATACTCATGGTGTTACTCATACTTTAATAATGTGTTTTAAAGGGTTTTTTAAAAAAAAAATAAAGTATTAGGTTGGTGTATCTAATTCACACAAAAGATTGGTTTTCAGCCTCAAAGAGCAATATTATATGTACAGGTGAAACGCAAACCCGAAATGATAGTAAAGATAAAATGTGGAGAATGGAAAAGAGAATTCTTTTGTAATTGTAATATGGGGTTTGCTTTATGGTGCAAGTAGTATAACGTGCTGTTAAAAACCTCTGTTAGCAAAGTTGTGCCCTGAAATACAGGTTTGAATCTTCTACAGAGCTTCATTGGCTTCTGGAGAGCAGGGGGACGTTGTAGAATTTAGACGAGATTGGAACATAAAGTCATAAGAACTCTACCAAAATCTCTAGCGCGATGTTTCTGGCTGGTAGAACAGGAGCTGTGCATGGTGGATACAAATCCGAGCGCTGCCGGGGTAGCGGAGCGACAGTGGAAGCGTGGAAGGGGACAGCCTTCCAAAGGTAGCGCGGTGTGGAAAAATGCAGATTTTTATACGACGCTGCGCGTGAGGCGCGTGGGGCATTTAACGGCATGGCAGGGCCCAGCGTCTCGTTGCTGCTGCTTTGGGAAAGGCTGAGGAGCTGGGCTGGCGTACGGGCTTGCTCTGCGGCAACGCTTTTCCCTGCTTTTCCATAGTTGGTGATCCCTCGGTGGGAAGAAGGTTTTTTCTATCCACTGCTAGCAGCACTGCAGCAGTAAACTGTGACTTGCGTTCCTCTGTGAGCTGCAGTTACCTCTAATTAAGTCACCGACGTGGGCGCTTTGTTCTCAAAGTTTCGGTGAATCACTGCACCTCCACTTGAACAAAGTCTCGGGCGCGTTAGCAGCCGGTACCCGCTCGCTTTCAATAACAACCTAGCGATAGCGGTTTGAGTTAATGCCTGGTAATGGCTTGGAGAACAATTACAGGTATCCGCACCTGATGCGGAGGAAAATACGGTGTAATTTACCTTTATTCATAACACTTTGGATTTCTGCCTTCAGCCCGTTATGTGCAGTTTAGCAACTAAACTCATTAAATGAATAATGTAATTATAGGGCCTCTGCATGAGGATCCAACACGATGTTGGAACGGGAGGGTTTTTATAAAATTCTGTCTGAAGGTCGGCGCGCAGAATTATAGCTCAGGATGCAGTTGTGAGAAAAACAAGGAAAGTGTTTGGCCTCATTCTTTTCTGTGACCCTCTGTGATTTATGCCAGTTAAGAGCAGATTGGATGGCCACGATGTACGTTATTCCCCAAAGAGAAAAGGGGATCTTGGACTAATCACAGGTCTGGGAGCCGAGGTGCTTGGTCGTGTCCTTCTCTTTGCTGCAGCTCAGTGACAGATGTCAAATGTTCCGCGGGCGGAGTTTGCTGTTGCTCGCAGGGCTGTAGGTTTACCTCGGTTACCAGGTTCCCCTTGCACGGTCGTAGCTCTGGCTGCGTGCTTGCAGAGGGGGATAAGACAGCGAGAGTTGCGGTTTTTCCCTGTATTTTCTGAGATGGAGGAGCCAAACGGTGTTAGCCGGGCTCGCGGAGGAGGAGGAGGCAGAGCGGCGTGCCCTTGCTCTTCGCCTGCTTGGGTGGGAAGGTGGGACGCTTCCCCCCCGCCAACAACAACCCCTTGAACTGCTGACGTCTGGGATGATGGCGAGAACCGCGTACGCCGAGGCTGCTGTTTCGGCATCCGGTCCTGGCGGTCCCGCTCCCCCCCTTTCACCGGACACCGGGTGCGTGTTTTATGCCAGCGTACAAGGATTTAATTTTCTGTTCATTTAAAAAACAAATATGATCTCCCTGTCATTAATTGCTTGCCAGCTTGCTTGTTTTTCACTTCTTCGTATTCCTCTCACACTCCTTCCACCGGCGGCTGCTTTTCAGATTGTTTTATTATAAATTAAAGCTCACAGTACACCTAGGGTCTAATTCCTAGAATAATTCAGGGAACTGGGCAGTCCTGCAACCCTGACAGCTATTACAAGCGCAAGCGTCGTGCTTTTAGCAAGGCACTTAGGAAAGATATTTTCCCCCTGTACCAAACTTGGCTTTTGGATGTAGATTTTCAAGGACAACCGTTGGAAAGCTGTCCTCTTTGTCAGGAACAGCCACTGGCTGCAGCTGGAGACAAGATGCTGATAGGGCCGAATGGATTTCGGAGGCAGCAGAGAGAATTCTCGCGGGTCACCGACTGTCTGGGTCCTTAGGCGTACGCTCAAGACGTGGTGCTTGTCACCCGATGCGAGATCTGGAAGGAATGTCTCCCTCCTTAGGCGATGAAGGACCTTAAAAACCTTTAAAGGAGCTTAAAAATCTTTCTGCTTTTCTTCGCAGCGTGGAGTACAGCATGGGGGGAGGCTCTCTCCTTCCTGCGAGGGAGAAGGCAAGTGGGGATGCCGCTCCATAACTGGAAAAAGTACCATTAGCTTGTGTTTGATAGCGTTGCAGGATGACCCACGCCTCGCAGAGGACACCTCCCCTTTGCAAAGGCGTGCAATCTCGGCGCTTTATTCCTCCTCCCGTTACTCCAACACCGGGCATAGATTGCACCAACAGGCACAAGGTTCCTCCCTCGGTGCAGCCCACGCATATTGAAAACATTCAGCACTGCATCAAGTGGTTTTCTTCTTTTTTTTTACCGATTTGACTATTTGAAGTGGTCTTAAAGTTAGGATAGGAGACCTCCCCCCCCGCACAGCTGTGGGTTTGCGTGCCCTGTGGGAGCATGTGCGGCCATACGCCTGTCTCTACATAGCACTACAGATGTTACGACTCATTAGGAAAGGTAGCAATTAAAAACAAGTCCTAAATCAGCTATTACAAAGGTGTTTTTAGGAACAGATTCTTGCCTCGTATCTGCCAGGGAACGCGTATGGTTTTCTCCTCTCAGGTCAGGATCTCACCCTATGTTCAGTTCTGAAGGCGGGTGTTTTAACTCAAAAACAGTAAAATCAGGCTTCCTTTTCATTTGTTATTTACAGAAAATCTTAGTGTCTGTAACCTTGTCTCGCTTAAGTGTGCATTTATATCATTCAGGACTGGAAGGTATTTCTTTTAGGAGAAACGGCGCTTGGCAAGCAATAGCGAGCTTTAATAGTTGAAGGCATACGCTAATTCTAGAATTTGAGTCTGAAATCACTTGACGCTGTGGTTCAGGTTCCTTGCTAATGTAAATTTCTGACATGAACCACTGACGGTGGGCTCATCTGCACGAAGGTGATCCCACCTAAATATAAGGGCAGAAAGAACATACCAAAAATGGGACGGCAGGCAATGCCGCCCGCCGGGATTTCTCCTTAATGCAGTGATGAGACTGGAACTCTTTGGCAGCATCAATTTGACACGAGATTCGTACTTTTTTTTCTTTTTTTTTTTTTCAGTAACGCACCCAGCCTTTTATACAGCTGAGTTGTTAAATTTCTCGTGGTCAGGAAATCTAGATTTCTCATGGTATTTTTTTGCCTCTGGAAATGAATTCATGAAAGCGCTAGTAAGGATGGTGATGCCTGATGGGAAAAATTGCCGAGTCGTAGGGCACTTGGAGATTAGGTAAATTCTGGCTGATCTGTGCTACGTAAGGCACATTGCTTCAACATTAACCATGCAGGAGGCATGCATTTTCATATATTTTGCTAACGTATATCATTTTTCTACCTGCTGTTTTTATTTTAACAGCAGAAAGCAGCCAATTGAAACTAATCCGTTTGGAACATACATGTCCTAAAGAAAAACCTTTGAATTTCTAAGAACGTATTTTTAAAAGCTCTTTCAAAACCCTGTCTGTCTCGGTACTGGATAGAGAGCTAAATCTGCGCTGGCATCTGAACAGAGTCGTTTATGGCTACGACCTTTCCAGCTGTTCTTTGGCACCCACACCACCGCCTCCCAAAAGTACATCGTTAACGTTGTTTGTGTGCTCAAAGATTTTCAAAGTTCTCCTTGCTCGTGATTAAATTTTCGTTATTTTTCTTTTGGCCTTCTCTTTCTCTTCCTTCGCACCTACTTGACCCTCACGCAGCTCTCGCAAAGGAGGGTGAGATGGAGAGGTTGCCTTCCACCCGCCACTCCTCCTCTTCCATTGCTTCTTCATCTCCCTGGCCACCACCCTTGCCGTGCCCCAGCGGCCGCTCCTGCTGCCGGTGCCTGCTGAGGATTCTGATCACACTCTACCTCTTCATCTTTGTGTGTTCCTATGTTGTGTTTCTTTCCATGAATTCAGCGGGCAAGTCCACGAAAAATGCACGCTCGGAGAGTCGCTCGCTTGAGTCTGAGCTCTCCCGCTCCACTCCTTCCTCTGTGCTGTGTAAGTTGAGAGCCTCGTCCCTTCGGATGATCTCTTTTGCCTCTCCTCT